ATTACATTAGATCTAAAATTTGTATGTCTAATGCAAAATCCATGATGTTTATATTCAAAATGATCATCATATTGTAAGAATTCCAGCAATGTAAATTATATTCTGCGGGTAATTTGTATGATTTTAATGAGCTAAACATATATCTTCAGTAAATAAACAAAGAAATATTCTTCAACAACACTATCTGTCAATCAAAATACTCCGCCCTAGCTGGTTGGTCCCTCCCTCCTCTCCCCTACAGAGAAGCGATTGGGAGAAAATAGTATATTTACATTTTGAAATAAATAATAACTCAGACTAAAGTTAGGATAATATAATTGACATTTCTGGATTCCTTGCAGGTCAGGGAATATTTTGAATGTAAACTTCATATATTCTGCACAAGGATAAAATATTTGCTTTGTGTAAACCAAATTATTACATTAGATCTAAAATTTGTATGTCTAATGCAAAATCCATGATGTTTATATTCAAAATGATCATCATATTGTAAAATTCAGCAATGTAAATTATATTCTGGCCGGGTAATTTGTAGATTTTATGAGCTAAAAAAAAAATTATACTTCCGCGTGGTGAAAGTCTGGTTCTGGGAGTACCGCGTAAATGAGAAATCTGAGAAATCGCGGAAAGTGAAACCATGTAAAGCGGGGTAATACTGTACTGCATTTCATTGTAGATTTTTTTTTATTATTTATTTATTTATTTATTTATTTATTTATTTTTATTTTTTAAATCTATGTCGGACTTATGACCATTCCGACTTACGACCTTTATTTGGGTCCCTAACCCTGTTGTGTGTGTGTGTATATATATATATATATATATATATATATATATATATATATATATATATATATATATATATATATATATATATATATATTTATTTATTTATTTATTTATCATGTAGATCCACAATGAAAACTTGGATAAACCTTAGTGATGGTCAGTTCAAAACTGATAATATGTTACATAAGTTTATTCGTCAGTGGCCCAAGGTTAAAAATGCTTTAAAAACCTTGGATCTAGATGTAGGATAGTTATTTAGTGGGTCCCTTATTTGTGACCTGACCTGACTAGTCACGTTGCCCCCTTCTCTTAAGCTCCTCTACGTGTGTGTTGGTGTGGGATTAGTGGATGACATCATTATGACCTGACCTCATGTTTAATAAGGTCACCCTGTATATTTAAGCTCTCTGTCCATGTAATCCAGCTGCCTCTGAAGATGTCTTGAATAAAGCGAAAGCTAAGGTGCTCCGTTGTTTCCCTTTTCCGTGTGATTTATGAGATATATATATATATATATATATATATATATATATATATATATATATATATATATATATATATATATATATATATATATATATATATATATATATATATATATATATATATATATATATATATATATATATATATACAAATGGATTCTGCTATAGCATGAATAATTGTGTTCTTGTAAAATATCGTGTTATAGAAATCATGTAATAGAAATAACATGGCTTATGGAGAAAATAGGGTTAGGTGCAGATTACTCGAAATGAAGAAAATTTAGTAGTTAGCCTAACACAAGGGATAGCACAGTCTAAATAAATGTTACATTCATATCTAATAATGAAATCATACAGTAAATGTAACACTTTACTTGATGGGAGAAGGGGTGATTTTGAGGTTGATAATCGAGCTTCTCTTCAAGTGTTATATCCTTTCTTTTGATCATCACCGAGAATTCTATCACCAGAACGCTTCTTGTTGATATTCTTCTTTACTATATTCACAGTTAATACAGTGGGTATGCTATAACGACGGATCCTACTACGAATATTCCTATATGACGGTTTTTACCTATAAAATTGAGAATGCTATAACGAACTAAACTCCTACTAGAACATTATTTATTTTCTAATTTATTGTTTTTTTTACAAATATTAATGATATTCTTTATTTCAGGGTTTAGATGCATATTTATGCACTTTTTTACAGTTTTACAATTTTATATTATATTTTCAGTGTTAAGTGGTTGTATTGGGGGCCTGGGCGGATTAATCCTATAACTTGAATGAATGCTATCTGAACAAGGTTCTAGAACCAATTAGATTCGTTATAGCATACCCCTGCACCACAAAATTGGAGAAATAGTAGCAAAAAGGCGTTATAGCAAACAAGCGTTAGCGTTATACAAATATCGTTCCTAATTCTAATCGGCGTTAGAGCAAATTCGCGTTATCAAAACCGCGTTATAGCGAACTCTGTATATATATATATATATATATATATATATATATATATATATATATATATATATATATATATATATCCTGCCTATAAATGAGGGTGCATAAGAAGTCAAATTTCCATTTAAAAAGGTAGCTTTTGAGCTATTTGCTGTATAAGACCAGTACCCCAAATGTGACACTTACCCACTGACTCAGTAGTCCTACCAACCATCCTTGATTTTTAAAATAAGGCCAATTCACTTCAAGTAATGTCATCAAATTATACCCGCTGGTGTAGTGTAAACACTAGTGACGTCACTGAAGCGTGTTGAGTGTTCCGTCTCGGTGGTGTGACTATTTATACAACATGTGGTTCAACAGCAACCACCGTATTCTAATTGTGGTGTTTCATTAGGATTTGAGTGAAAAAGGTTACCAGTATGTACTTACTACATACATTTATTACACAAATATATATATATATATATATATATATATATATATATATATATATATATATATATATATATATATATATATATATATATATATATATATATATATATATATATATATATATATATATATATATATATATATATACTGAATATACTATGTACAAAAATGAATGTTCAATGAATTATTTATGGTGCATTAGGGTACTGGTCACTTCTGATGGGCTATAAATAGCCTTCTTTATCTCCCCTACATCACCCACAGGCCAGACGGAAGGGTCTTGGTAAATAACATGTTTGCTTATTTTCCATTTACTTTTAAATAGATTTACGAATTATTTGTATTATTTATTTATTTATAATATACTGTAATATATTAAACACACTGTAATTATTTTCTTTAATTTATAAACTGTTTTTGCGACAAAGGAATGTTCTCCAGTAGTGTTTCATTAGGATTTGAGTGAAAAAATTATTACTTACACAATTGTTCCTCTTACTTTGACAACACAACATACATACAGTATATTATTTCTCAGTTTTGATCTTTTTTTTTAATTTTGTATTTATTTATAGTTAGTTACTTAAAATAAGGCCAATTCATTTCAAGTAATGGCATCAAATGTTACCAGCTGGTGTAGTGTAAACACTAGTGACGTCACTTGAGCGTCTGTAATTAACCGTCGATAGTTTCAAGAATTAATGCACTCATTTACTGAATATTCTTTGGAAAAAATATAATTTAAATCAATTATTTATAGGAGATAAATATTATTATGAGTAAATATACGATACCGGTATGCATTACTGACCACCTCCCGGCTCCTCACTGGCAAATGGGGCGTGGGGAGGGTGTGTGATGATAGCTGTGTTTATTATAGGGTATAAATCTCTTTTTACGGTTATGTTAGACAGGTTTATAATACATTTTTATTATTTTAATATACGTATCTTAATTTTGAATCCAGCTCCAAACGTAAGTTTCAGTATAAAATAATTAGTGGTAAGACCTTGTGAGTGGCTTACGATGTTTTCATCACTCTTGACACACTAAACCACAATATTTAGAGGTAAGAATTTTAAACTTGGTGGTTTAGACTGACCCCTAACTGGGCAGATTTTTTTAATGTTCAAATTTCGTCTTATAGGCCGTGATATACGGTATGCTGATAACCACAAGGAAGAAAACACGAAACCAGGCGCTTTGTGTAATTCACATCTTCAGGGGTGAGTACAGACTAGTCTGTACTCACCCCTGGAAATAATTACAGCGCTCTTTTCCTTGTGGTTATCAGCATATACAGATCACGCACTTACAGTGATTTACTTGCACATATGTATATATATATATATATATATATATATATATATATATATATATATATATATATATATATATATATATATATATATATATATAAGGACAGTTTATGGTTGTCATTTTTTATTTTTGAAATAAAAGGACAAACATGTCTCATAAGGGACAGGCTGTCCTTAAAAGGACAGACTTGGCAATCGTGCACAGCGACTCTTTCACACCAACTGATCGCTAGTAAACAGACCATTTCACATCCCATAATTTTGGCCGTGTTGATTTATGAGTGTTTGTTTTAACATAATACTACAAAAAAGCAATGTTTTGTTTATTCTAGAGATGGGCTGAGGTGCATATGGGTAGACTCTCAGCCATTTACTTTTTGTGTTAAGAAGTGTTTCAATGGAATAATTTAATTAAATTATTCCATTGAAACAACACTTTGATTTAGTGCGAATTTGGTTTAAAGCGACCTCTGTTGGAACATTATCTGGTTTTCTTTCGACTTTGTACTGTACACTACCTGCGCTACCCATGACTTCCAGGTAAGCTATAATTATGATCACATTACAAACAATCACGCAAGCGATAACCGTGAATGGCAGACCCACATAAAATGAGAGCTCACTGTGTTTTCTTAATGTTTTTAATATGTTAGGTAGTAAATTACAGTAGTTGTGCACTACATGTATTTATCATTTGTTAGGTAGGTTTTTTCTTGTTCCTGGACCGATTTCGTGTTTTGCTGCATTTTTGTCATTTGGGACTCAAACCTTATTTTTCCCATATATTTTTCTATTCAAGATACGAAAATTCACCAAATGAATGTTTTTTATGGAATCTAACCCATTTGTATTTGAGGATACCTGTATTTTACTTTGTAACTAACTCCCATTTAGTATATAAGTCGTCCTCAGAAATATTCAAATCAACTTATTGTACTATTTTATGCTTGACTGCACTGAAAATTTTATTCCTGATAATATAAATGTGAAATATCTTGACTTACAGGGTGAATGAAAATGTAAACTCTGGTGGAGATGCATCCGTTCTTCATGATCGTGTGGTACAGCTTGAACGTAGGCTGGCTGCAGAACAACAGCGCTCAGAACAACTCGAGGATGAAGTTACCCAGTTACGTACTGAAAACCGAAAATTGCAAGAAGACAGTCGAGCAGCAGCACAACAGCTGCATCAATTTACAGAGTGGTTTTTTAACACTATTGACAAAACTTGAGATACTGAAGGGTGTAATTACAGTGTTCTTGCAAAGTCTGATCTTATATGGTAGGCTCAATTTAAAAAATTATATTAGAGGCAGTGTCTTAAGTTATGAGGGTAATCTACCCAGACGCAAAATTTCAATTAATACCTATAATGCCCAACACTGGGAGGAGGGGGGGGTGTTGAGGCAGGTGACCTTGTCCCAAGAACAATTTGTCTTTTAACTGGGGTACTAACTTAATAGAATCTAGGAGCCAGAAGCTATAACATATTGCTTATCACCAGTTTTCTGGCACTTCAGTGAATCATTGGGAACTCCACATTGCCTAGAAACTAAGAGGTGATGCCACTTACAGGATTTGTGACAGTTACAAAATGGAGTAGAATTAAAACTATTATGCTGTCATCCTGGAAATAATACATTCAGAATATGATATCCAAACTTACTGCCTGAAAGTTGATGATAATTGTGTGATCTCTAAACTGGGTAGTTAACTCCTTGGTAAGTTTTGGCTGCACTAGTTTCAACATTCTTTGCCAAGTTATATAATTCTCCATTTTGTGCATTAGATTTAAGTTCTCATTTTACAGCTCTGCTGATAATTGATCATATCTGAATTTCTAATAGTCCTTTCATAGTGATAAGGAGAAGGTTTTGTTCTGTATGTATTGGCTAATTTTCAGAATATAGCATTTTTCTGCTGGTAATTGGAATTCTAACATAATTTTTGCAAGGGCCTTAATCTTTAGCATAGAGACTTTAGATGTTTTCCGAAGGCTTTAGTGTATTTCTAATTCTCTAGTCTTTAATATTAAACTGAAATATATTGAAACACTTATTTAGTGAATTTAAGTGTAAATTGCCAAAAAGTGCTAAAATCAGTATTACCCATGATTAATGAATTAGTCAACTACTTCAGGTCAATAAGGATGCCGCTCCACTTGGTGAAATATGGCACATGATTTATATAAATACATATATATATATATA